ATGGCTGCCGTGGTTTATGTTAGCCGTCATTTTAAATCATGCATGTTATATTCTCATCTTTGGAAGTCTTTTGTTTTATTTGAAACGAAACATAAATATAACTCAAGCGTATGCAGACTGAGTTTTTACAGTGGACAGAGATGGTATACTCAGCGACAATTATCAACGACAAAAGTCGGTATCTCAGAGTTAGAGAATATTACGTCACCTCGAAGATTTGATTACCCCGACAGAAATCGCAGAATCATGATCGTACTACAGAAGAAGAAAGGTGAGCAAGTGCGTCAGCTTCACGAGGAAGACTTGCTAAACTACTTCTCCATGTACGGAGAAATAAGCAACGTGAAATGGGTACGAAGTAAAGAAGAAGATCAAGATACCGGCAAGGGATTTGGGTTCGTGTCATTCAGCAATGTTCCGTCGTTCCAGGAAGCTGTTGCCTCAAAATATCATACAATAAAGGGCAGGCCCGTGCTTGTGTTCCCAGCAACGAAGAGGGCAGACTCGCAGCCTTCAAAGGTGGCTCCTCAAACAGCAGTGGTACCTGATCAGCAGGCGTCAGCATCCGGCAGGATTGCCTCTGACACAGTTCTTAAACTTGATCGGGTGGGGTCTGAAGGGACATCTGAAAAAACTAGCTCCAAGCCCATGGTAGTGCCTGATTTTACTGAATCAGCATCAATGAAGGTAGCACCAGAGTCAGCTGCCACATTTGATCAAAGGGTATCTGCAGCAGTGCCTCAGAGGACAGCTTCTGAGTCAGGGGTGACCCCCAAAGAAACAAGGTATTCTTCTATTAACATAGCTCAACAGGCAATGCTAGGTCAGGAAGCTTCACAAGAAGGGGCTTTAAGCACAGCTCCTGGACCGGTGAAATTTTTGCAAGATCCAGAATCTGGAAAAGTGAGACTTACAGGTAAAGCTTCACTGGCAAGTCCTGAAGACCAGAAACGAAAGATTTTAGTGACACAGCGCAAAGGTTGCAAAGGTAAAATGACAGTGAAATCTGTACATGATTATTTTTCAGTATTTGGCAAAATTGAACAAGTTCAAGAAAACAGTGACCTTGTCTATGTCACATTTGAAGGTGCCAATAGTGTTGAACATGTTATGACGATCACAAACCATAGGATTGATGATATGATGGTGCTAGTGTCTTTGGCATATTCCAATAAACAGAGGAAACAGTTGCGGATTGAGAAAGCGCTCGATGATGTTAAAATGAATCAAAATCCTAGAGACGTCAAAATTGCTGAACGAGAAGGACGAAAAATTGTGATCATGACTCCTTCCAGGTTCAAAGAATCCATCAGCAAAGAAATGTTGGAGAAGTATTTTTCCTCATATGGAGAAATTGAAGAGATATTTGTTTTGAAATCCAAAGGTTATGGCTTTGTAATATTTAAAGAGGCATGTGATGCTGAAAAGATCTTGAAGATTCGAAACCACAACATTGGAAATGTTGAGATTTATGTAAAATTGTCACTGGCTTCACGACACATTACTCAAAATGAGCCAAAGAGGATCATTGTAACTAACATTTCTGAAGAAACTTCAGAAAGGGAAATCAGGAAACACTTTGGACAATTTGGAAAAGTGGTAGAAGTTGTGTTTGCAAATGCTCCAGATGGTGGAAAAAGGCCAGATTCTTGCATAGTTGTCTTCGATTCCATTGATGGTGGAGTTGAATCTGTTGTTGATGAATCCCATCAGATCCCTACTCAAAAAGATGCACTTGTTGTCAAACTTTCAGAAGACAAAGTGACACATGTAGCTGAACTGCCAAAACTCTATGTGAGTAATGTTCCTGAGAGCATGACACTAGAGATGGTGCGATCTTACTTTGAAAAGTTTGGATTGATACAGCACCTTGGTTTTACAAGTTACAAGTCTGAGGAAGCAATAACTAACTTGAATGGTATTTCACTGGCATTTTGTGACGAGTCAGTCCTTGAAAAGACTTTGCAGAAAACTTTTCATAAAATAAATAGATTTAAGGTGAAGGTTATTAGAGCGCCCCTGATGTTATCTCCTTCTGACTGCCTTGGTTTAAGAATTTTGCTGACAAGCTTACCATCAGGTACTGATGAACATGTTGTTAAAGACTATCTTCATCAACACTCCTGCAGAGTGAAAACTGTGAAATTAATTTCACCAACAGTTTGTTTTGCTGATTTGTGGAATTTGCGAGACGTGGACAGGCTTGTGGAAGTGGCATCCAAGCAACAGCATGTCATCGGTGGAAGTCCAGTTTCACTTCGTCGCTTCTACTGGGTCAAGAAACAGGAGGAAAGACTTTAATTCATTGGCTGAAAAGTGAGAGGGACTGATGGAGACCTAACTTAGAGGTTATTTTTCCCATGTTAGTCAATTAACCCTTTCACTCCCATAAGTGACCAAGACAGAATTTCTCCTAACAATGTCAATACAATATCAAGCAGGCAGGTGATGAGAATAGAGAAGAATATCAACTATGAGATTATTAGTTGATCCAATACCAAATTCTCTGAACTAACATCATAAGAATTGTATGGCAGATAGTAAGGAGAATTACCAATTAGATCTTGGTAGTGAAAGGGTCAATCATTAATATGACATTTACAAACTTTTAGCCCTTTAACTCCCAGAAGTGATAAACATAAAACCTTTCCCTAAGATATCCATACATTATTCAGCAAACAGGTAATGAGAATATTCAAACTTATCAGGTAGAAGCTGCTATCTTGATCTAGCACCAAGTTCTCATATCTAACTTATAAGGAAATTTGTAGCAGCTACAGGGGAGAATTAACAATCAGATCTTGGGAGTTAAAGGGTTAACTTACAAAATAAGAATTTGTGAAAATTATTTTCAACCCCTAAACTCAGGATATGACTGTTCTCCTTTCTGGCCACCAAAAAATTTCCTTGAAAATTAGTTAAGAGAAATTGGTGTACAATACCCTAAGCTGTAACCCAACTTACTTGCCATGGCAGGAAGAAAAGCATTTGTGCATCCACTTTAATCAGAAAATATTACAAAAGGATCTCAGTATGAGGGCCATAAATTATGGCATAAGTACCAGTAGGTCTTGAAAAAGTCCTATGGCTCTGCAAATGGCCCTATGAGAAGAAACATGTTCAAAAGGAAGAAATAGAAAGATGGGCCATCATATGATAAAATGCTTATTGAATTATGGAGGGCAGGCCAGACAGGAAAAATGAAAAGGCTCAAGGTCAGGATGTATGGACAATGAGGTCTGTATATAGTGACCTCAAGCAAAATTTTGTCATGTCTGGCCCTCCCACTTGGTCAATAAGTATGCAATTTGACCATTAGTATCACCAACATGATACACATAGAGAACAAAATATCAGTACTTCCAGAGCTGTGAATAGAAGTTACTATGCTTGAAATGTGTAAGAGGTTTATTTATTGTGATTGAAGAATTTATTTTTTATTTTTTTCCAAAAATTTTGTAACTCCATGTGTCTAAGGGGTAAAAGCCAGGTTTTTGTCTGCAGAGGGTGGGTGGGAGGGTGGTGGCTTTTGATTTTCAGTGCCATCTGTTGATTCTTAAATATTTTGGTGCTTAACCCTTTAACTCCCATCAGTGACTAAGACAGAATTTCTCCTTACAATATCAATAAAATACCAACCAGATAAGTTATGAGAATAAAGAAAAATATCAATTTGGGAATAATTATTTGATCCAATACTACATTTTCTGAACTAACATTATAAGAATCGTGTGGTTGACAGTAAGGAGAATTATAAATTTGATCTGGGAGTTAAAGGGTTAAATAATTGTTTCTTGAGAATGTTGCTTGATATAAAAAATGGTTAGCCCTTTGATCCCCAAGGGTGACAAGCTTCTAATTTATCCTACAATATATTCCCTGAATCACACACCATAAGCTTATGAGAATAAAGGAATTGATCACCAACGAAGGAAGCTCTTGATTGTTAAATAAATTCTCTTTGTCTGCATCTTGGGAAATGTATAGAGAACAGTATGGAGAATTTGTAGACTGATACTAGGATGTAAAGGGTGAAACTTGTGAGCAAAGGACTTGAGCTTATATTATAGTGGTGTATACTGATCGATAGTTTGTCATGCTGTAAGTGAGCTCAGGGTTTGAGAAGATGAATTTTGAACTGAAATTTCAGTTGTAATCTTAATTTTTTGGCCCTTGTTAAAACTCAAGATTTGATATATACCTAATGTTATTTATGAGTTTTGTATCCTTTCTCTTGGGCAATTGTAACCTCCACAAAACGTAAATAAACAGCAATGCTTGTGTTTTATTTAGGGTAAAACAAATAGCGAAGTATAAAAGCACAGGGGGACTGGGTTCATTCTTTAAACTTTCCCTTGATGCAATGCAATACGAAGGAAATAAAATGGCGGTTGTAGTACGGTTCTCTAGGACCGGATTTCGATGCCCACTCTTCGTTCAAACGCCGAGGCTTTTTTCTGCCACTAGTCTATATTTACCCAGAAACAGTAGGTTTCTATCCTATGCCACAAGGAATCTTTCTCCTGAACACCAGAAAAGGAAAATCATGGTCGTTGGCCTGAGAGAAGGTACGGTGGAAACTGATGCTGAGACTTTAGAACTTTACTTTAAATCGTACGGCAAGATAGAGCACGCCAAAGTAGTCCGCGATCAACTAAGTGGAAAATCAAAAGGCTATGGGTTCGTGACATTTGACAGTCCAAAGGTTGCGGAGAAAGTTTTGTCCTCTACCAACCATCGTATCGACGGCAAGGACGTGAAAGTGCTCCTAGCAGTGAGATCTCTGAAAAAATCCCGCGAATTGCCAATTACGAAAGATATTCAATCAGAAGAACTGCAAGAAAGGAAAATATATGTATCTGCGCTCGAAACTGGCGATTACAGAACAACCGAGCAAGACTTGAAGGATTATTTTTCAACCTTTGGAGAAGTTGAAGATGCAATGATTGTTTTCCCGAAAAGTTATGGATTTGTAACATTCAAAAATCCAGAAACTGTCAAAGATGTCTTGTCGAACCCTTTGCATGTGATAAAAGGGTGGAAGATATATGTGGCAAGACCTTTTAAGATTAAAGACAAAACTGAGATTGCAAGGAAGAGAAAAAGGACAATCAATGTCTATGATGTTTTCCCTGAAATATCTGATAATGACCTCATCAAGCATTTTTCAATTTTTGGGGAGGTGGAGCAGGTTCTTGGAAGGGATTCTGACAGCAACCAAAGCAGTCAATGCATGGTTGTGTTTAAGAGAGAAGATGCAGCTAAAATGGCTCTGAAGCAACAACTGCAGGTGATTGCATCTCGATTTAAAATCTATGTGAAACCACTGTCTGACAGTAGGGAATCAAACAAAGTACTTTTACGTGGTGCTCCCGCAGATATCACCCTAGAAGCGTTGCAGCTTTATTTTGAACAGTTTGGAGACATTGTTCGAATGGACCTGACGTCAGATCATCATCGACCCACCCATGCTGATATCCATGGTGTGAAATATCGAATTAACACAGATTGGCCCACTGTTGAATTTACTGATGTAGGTGCTGTGGAGAAAGTTTTATTGCATGATCATGTGATCTGTGGCCAGAATGTCGATTTAAGGAGAGTTGATGAAAGGGCTTTGTCAACTGGTGCATTTAAACGGGAGACAGAGCGAAGCATGATGATTCTCATTGATGATCTAGATCGAAACTCTAGCAAGGAAGCTATCATTGATTATTTCACTAGTCAGTCCCTTATGGTCCAATCTGTGGTTTTCAGGATGGAGAGCAATGATTCTATGTCTTGTGTGGTGGGGTTTTGGAATTTGGATGATGTTGACGAAGTTGTCAATCAAGCATCTAAACAAGATGGTATTTTATTCATCAGTGGTAAGCCAGCATATGTAAGACGCCTTCACTGGGAGAGTACACAAGAAAACATGGAAAATGATAGACAAGGAGACTTGTTGAATAATTATTAGAGCAACTTTCCATTAAAACTTTAAACCACAAGTGATCAGCCACTGATTTCTCCTTACAATATCACCCCAGAATCACACACTTTTAGTCAATGCTAAAGGAAATTTACAGAAAAGTGTATTGAGAATATTTATACTGATGTTATGGTGTAAAGGGTTGTCAGTAGTAATGCGAAATATACAACCATGCTCTGTGATGCTTTAGAAAATGACGATAAAGAGAAAGATTGGCAACCTAAGTAGCTTTGATTGTTAAACAAATTCTCTTAGTCAGTGCTAAATGGTGTTGAGAATATTGATACTGATGTTATGGTGTGAAAGGGTTGAGTAAATACTTAAAATGCGTCATTATGCTCTACAATTGCTTTGGAAAATGAGAATAAAGATGAAATTGGCAACCTGCTTGTGAAAGTAAATTTTTTACCAATAAACGTCTCCATATTAAACAATAAAGCACATGTATTCTGCTGTCTTTCTATTTTCTCTCTTTTTCCATTAATTGCCATTCAACAATGTTGTCAAATCTCACTTGAAACTTAGTCTGGATTCATTAAATAGTTTATCATGATAATAATAATGTTGATGGTTAAGACTTGTAACATGATTGTAGTAATTCTTTGGGTGTGGTACTGAGGAGAACAGTTTTTTTTTTTGCAAGGGTCTCTATATTTTCCAATGTGAAGTCAAGGGAAAAACACAGCTAAGATTATCCCAAGGAAAGAAACATAAAGTGTGATTTTCTCCTCACAGTATTTATACATTGTCAAGCAGGGAAGTGATGAGAAGTGAGACAAACATCAGATGAAATAGTTGATTAATTTAGCTTCACTCTCTAATTTATCAGACTGTGAACAGAATTGAGCCTGAAACTTGGAAGTAAGAGCATGAAAGTATCTGCTTAATGTTGTTAGGGGTGCGATTGCAACATTCCCCAGATAGAATACCAGATTCTCCTTGAAGATTGCCTTGTATTGCCTTGTGCAACTTAGGAGAAGTTGGTGTTTTATCAACTGTTACTTCCATGCTCTGCTTAATGGGTAACTCAAATCAAAAATGTCAAAACTAAGATGACATTTAAATACCATTTCTGACAAATATTTTTTTTTAAGTGCTGGACTTAAAATTAGAATTGAACCTGTAACCCTTTACTCCCTAACATCAGTACAGATATTCTCCATACGACTCTCTAGACATTTCCTAGGGTTCTGATGAGGAGAATTTGTTCATCAATCAAGAGCTTCTTTAGTTGGTAATCATCTCCTTTATTCTCATGACCTTAATTTTTGATTCGAGACTGATATTGTAAGGAGAAATTAGATGCTGATCACTCTTAGGGGTTAAGGGGTTAACAACCATGAGTTCTGATTGCTTAAAAGGAAAATGAAGCTTACAATCTACATTTAATACTTAACCCTTTAACTCCCAGATAAAATTTTTCATTCTCTTTACTGTCAACCATGCAATTCTTATAATGTTAGCTCAGAGAATTTAGTATTGAATCCACTAATTATCCCCAAATTGATATTCTTCTTTATTCTCATCACTTAGCTGGTTGATATTGTATTGATATTGTAAGGAGAAATTCTGTCTTGGTCACCCATGGGAGTTTAAGTGTTAAAATCAATAAAGAAAAGAAATTACAATGGAATGAATAAATTAATCCCATGTAGTGTCGCAAAAGGAGAACAATACATTTCAGAGATTATTAAAACATGGTTAAAAGACAGCTTTTATTTGGTGTGGTGAATTCTCCTTTGATCCTTACACTTCCAAGCGTGATTGACATGTAACTTCTCCCTAGAATATCCATTCATCATCCAGCAAACAGGTAATGAGAAGACTCAATCTTATCAGGTACAAGTGGCTAATCTTGATCTAACACCATATTCTCGTAACTTATTTACTAGGAATTGTCTAGCAGCTAAAGGAGAGAATTAACAATCAGCTCTTAAGGGTTTAAGGGTTAATGAAGCTGTGGCCAGTCTTCCAAATTCTCTCATTTGTCAACAATGTGGCTTATTGCTGCACAGAAACTTCTCTATCAACATGCACCACCCAGCAAATGTGCAATTTTTATAAGGTAAAACTAATTAAAAACACAGTAAGCAGTAAAATGTTAAAAATGCTTTAAATTTTCGTTGCGGTTAATAACAATGCCAAAACTTCACAAGGACTTAGTACTTGCTAAATAATTTGTATTATTAAGAGTCAGTACTCAAACCAAGTGGGCCATCTAGCAGGTCCTTATATTACTTCCCCCCTGGATGGGATGCCCTCCATCACAAGGTTACCCCCCCCCTAAAATTTCATTAGGCTTCCTGAAATTTGCCTGTACTCATTTATACTCCTGGAGAGAGAGCACAGTGTTTTGCCCAGGAACACAACACTCTGACCTGACCAGATCTCCAAGCTGCATCTCTGGACTTGGAGTCAAGGGCACTAACCAATAGGTCCCCACATCTCACTAAGGATGGTGGGCCATGAAATTTTGCCTCACAATCTTCTGGTTTGACCAGTTATCTTAATTA